CTTGAGAGGCTGAGGCAGGAGGACTGCCAAGGTTGAAGCCAACCTCAGCAACTTCACAAAACCCTGTCTCAAAATAAATAAAAATAAACATAAAAATGGGTAGGGATGTGGCTCAGTGGTAGAGCACTCCTGGGTTCAATGCCCAGTAGAAGAAGGAGGAGGAGGAGAAGGAGGAGGAGGAGAGAAGAAGAAAGGAGGACAAGAATGAAGGAGGAGAAGAGAAGGAGAAGGAGAAGGAGAAGAGCAATCTTTTGGCAATGAAGGGGGAAATTTGTTGAAAAGCAAGACTATCAATTGAGTGACTGATGTGACAATGGTCCAGGGAAGAAATGATGAAGGTTAAAACTTGGAGCAAATAAGAGTGAATGGATACAAGAGAGGTTGAAGATACAGAATAGAGAGGCATCCATAATTTTGTCAATGTCCCCTAGTTATCTTAGAGTTTGGACCCTAGTCTGAAAATTGTACTTACTCTCTTGCCCAGAGATCTAGTCTCCTACATTAACCCTTCCCTTTTTTGATTTTTTTTAAATTTTTTATGGACCTTTATTTTATTCATTTATTTATATGCAGTGCTTAAAATTAAACCCAGTGTCTTAAAACATGCTAGTAAGTACTCTACCCCTAAGCCCCAACCCAAGCCCCAACCGTTCCCTTTTCTTATCTCAAAATAACTACTACCAAATGTCTCCAATGGCCAGTGAGGAAGGTGAAAAAGAAAGCAAAATCACAAGTGAAACAACCCATCATGAAAATCATTGCACTGCCTTCCAGCATTTTGTATTAAAATCACCTTGCATTTTCTAAGATGTCACCCAAAGCACTTCCTCGGCTTCCTAGACAATGAAGAGCACCCTTCAAAGTCGTCCCTTTTCCAAATAAGGGCCATGGAATATATTCATGGGTATATGTAAAAGGTATGTCTTAGTTAAAATTCCAATAAATGTCTATAACACATGCCATTTTAAAAGCTTAAGTTAACTTCCTTAATCTGTAAGCCAAAATTCTGCCTTTTTATGATACATGCAGACACCAGGAAGCCAAGCTAGCTACAGAATGTGAAAAAAAGCAACCTTCAAGAAAAATTTCCCCCTTTTCAAATGTTTCAGGTTTTCAAATTGCTGGATTAGGATATATCTTTGAAACAGTATCTCTTTCTATTTATATATATTTTTAAAATTCTGTACACTATTTTTATACATGTGTTTCAAATATTTCTAGAAAAAATGACTCTCCATTTTATGTTAAAAATAATTTCCCTCAGGCTGGGGCTGTAGCTCAGTGGTAGAGTGTTTGCCTCATACATGCTAGGCACTGGGTTGATCCTCAGCACCACATAAAAATAAATACATAAAAGATACTGTATCTATTTACAACTAAAAAAATTTAAAAATCCCTTAATAAAATAGAAATAATTTTAAGAAACTAGCTTCAAATATAAAAGTATTTTGATTACTTATGCTAATATAAATCCCAGGCTGGTGGCTTACATTCTTTCAACAAGCATTCCTCTCCTCATCACTGAATAAAAGGAACTTGTAATTCATAACAAAACATACAAGACAGCAGAACCTCAGCCAAGATGATTAAGGATTATTACGCACACACACACGTTTTTTAAAGCCACATTCTGTATTAGTCTTATAAGGATGTATTGGTAATTTCAAAGTATTAAATAGGGTTTCATCCTAGCTGTGAACACTAAAGATGCATTGTATAAATAAATGTTAACAATTGTGATACTGTTTATAAAACTTGTTTACAGAGTAACACTTAAAACAGATGTGGCACACTATGCTTACATTCCATATGCTTCTTTATATGATCCCCAAATCAAGCTTAATTCCATCCATGCAAAGCTAACTGCAAATAAAAGGTATGACTAATTTTAAAAGAACACACAGCTATTTGCCAAGAGGTATGCAATAAAAAGTTACTAAGTCTTTGGCGAAATACTATATTTACATACTCAACAGTATACATCAGGAAAAATTCCAGTCACAGTAACTTTTCACAAGATTTATGATCAGAACTTGTAAGTAGATATACTGGGAATAGTGGCATGCCTGTTAGGGAAAAGTCTTCCAACCAAATGCACAACTCATGCCTGTTACAATACCAATAGAAATGGCTCCTCTAGTAGAAAATAAAATTCATTTTACAGTATTTAGAGTTGGATATAACCAAAACCTGAGAAAAACAGTTACAATGGTTCTCTAACCTTAGAGAAATTTAAAAAACACACAGAGATTATTCTTCAAAGAATAATCTACTAATAAAACCCTAACATCACTTTGCTCAAAGGACCTCAGACTCCTAATGAAGAATGAACCTTTTTAAGTAGGAACTAAGATACCTGCTGATAATCAAAGAAAGGCCTGTTTCATAAACAGTGAGATGACGGAAAACAGATCTATGACTCCTAACTGTTAGCAAGTAAAAGACTAGAGTAAATCTTAAGGAAAAAAAATCACCAGATGTTCTAAAATATCTAACCTTCCAAGCAGACTAGATCCTAAAAGCAAAAGAACAGAATGACGGGGTAGGGGGTGGTTAGGAGTGAATGACCAAAAAGAGGCTCAGAAGAGGAAAATATTACCAAAATATGACCTATGTTTTTTGAATTTGTAGTACAAAAAACAAAATGAAAAGAACATCATGAGACCATTAACCTTTTTCTAGAACATGTAGTTATCACCTAAGAGTAAAGTTGAAGCCCTTAAAAACTGTGGAAAAGCAAAAAGACTAAGATAATAATCAATGATCAATAACAAAACACATAAACAAAGTAGCTTACCATATTTGACCTAATGAGGAAAAAAATCAAATGTTTTTTGCTTTTGAAAAAATAAATATAGTATATAATGTAACAGGATAAAAGAGCCAACAGATAAAATTTCTACTGAACTAAAATCCATCTTTTTTCCCTTCTGTTCCATCTGGAGCTTCTTTAAAACCACAGTTAAGATATATAATCACTAAAAAAATTTAAGTATTGAAAACTATGTGGCAGCTGGAGTTAAAAGAGTAGGATAAAACTTTCTTTTTCCTTTCCAAAGAAAATGATTCTATAAACATTGCCATGCAAGTTTTATAGATAATATATATGTGTGCATGTGTGTATATTTATATGTGTGTGTACATCTCTCTCTCTCTCTATATATATATATATATATATTCATTTGCTAAGTAAGTCTTAGCATTTTTTTAAATGTAAGTAAGTTGTTCCTTTAAAGGAAAAACACAGGCACACTACTTTGTAGTTTATCCTTTTTACTTTTCTACATTGAGGAGCATGCCTTCAAACTTTCACACTACAAATGATGTGTTCTCATCTGTATTAGTAGTCAAAAAGGTGTGGCCATTTAAACCCAGGATGTACAAACATGTGCTTTAGTAGGTGTAAAAAAAAAATTGTCAGAAAACTGACATTTTTCAAAAAGCTAATGGCATTTTGAAAGATATATACTTTGTAAAAAGATATATTAAAAAACTGAAAACAAAGCAATGAAACCAGAACAGTGTCAAGAGGGACCTATTCATGAAATTGTTAACGGAAGCTACAGGTTACCAAATTAGCTTCCCTTTGGTTTTCTTATGTCCGAAGGGAACTCTTTGACCAACTATTCAGTCTGGTAGATTCCAGTCATTAAAACACCTCACTCTGCTGAAACGGATTACAACACATGCAGACCACACCTCTGCAGCACTATGGAGATAATTCCGAGGGGGAAAAAGTCTAGTGAAAGACGTCAAGGATTATGGTAATAACTTTAAATTGACAATATATTCAAGCATGTCTCTTACACAGGTTGATTTACCAGTTTGCATTCTATTTTATCTGGCAACTTCAGGCGAAGTTCTTTATCTTCTCACCATGAGAGCATAAATAAACTATCCCACATAGGCTAAGTCCTCCCTACTTTCCTCCGGTGGATCAGAACCCTGAGAATCTACTCATCGAATTGGGTGGGTATAACTGCTCACATTTTAGTCTTCCCTTCCTTTCTTGCTTGTCCCTGGACAAATCCCTACGCGGCTGGCAGAAACCTAATTTCTGATGCAAATAGGTAGGCCAGGTCCCTAAAAAGTTCTGCCCCTTGCGGGTTGTGCATGGGCATCTCTCCCACGTCGTTGCTTCGCTGGAATCTCAGATGAAACACTAACAGTAGCTAAGGTAACAGAATGGGGCTGAACCTGATCTAGTCCCCAGCAGAAACTGAGTCTCTGGGCCTGGGGGTTGGGAGCTGGCTGGGCGGACAGATTTCCGATTGGGCGGGGGTAGGTTTGAGGCTGCAGAGTGCAAAAGCAGTGTGTGGCCTTTGAAGGCCAGCGGCTGGCGCTGCCAAGATTTGGCAGGAAGGGGAGGGGAGCGAGAGGAAGAGGAGGAGAAGGAGAAGCAGCGAAAAGTCTGAGGAGGGGCGGGGGGGAGACTGGGCAGGCCGGCGGAGGGGAGGAAGAAGGAACCTGAGGAGGTGCTGGGGCTCCAGGAAAGCCCGCGCGCCCAGCCCGCAGCACCTCCCGGTGGAGTTTCAGGCTCCGCCCGCCCGCCCGGGCCGGGGCCGCGCGCGGAGCTCTCCGAAGGGGCGGGCCCGCCTTACAGCCTCCCTCCCGGGCTTGGCCCTCCTTCCTCCTTCTTCTCCTCCCTCCCCTCCTCCTTTCCATCTCCGCAGCGCCCTCAGACTCTCTCTCTCTGCCTCATACAAAAGCAAAATGTCCGCCATCTTCCGAGGCGGCTGCCGTCGTCGCGCCAAGACCTCTGCCCTCCCGCTGTTTCTCGGGGGGGAGAGCGCGGGGAGACTCCCCTATCTCGGATCCCGGGCGCCTTGGCTCCTCGGAAGTGGCTGACTGCACCGTTCCGCCCGCCCTCTGCGTCCCCCACCCACGCCCGCACGCCCGCCTGGGGACGCAGGACCGTGGCGGGAGGGGGCCGAGGCGCCAGCAGCCCCAGCCGACTTGCTGCTGCTTCTCACCCACCACTCCCAGGATGGCCCGCTTACCTTGATGCAGTACGGGGGCTCATCGTAGGTGACCAGCATGTACCTGTCTCCGCGGCTGGCCGGGTCCCGGGCGCGCAGCTGCGGAACGAGGGATGACGGAGGAGATCGCATAGAAAAGGACGGGAATGACACGAGCATTACAGAAGCACCTAAATCCACCTCCCAATCCCTCAGGAACGAGACCCATCACTCCCCTCCCCTCCCATTACCTTCAGAAATAACTCCACAGCGCCTTTGGCAATGTCCAAATAGGAGGTGCCCAGGTCAGTGCGCTGGTTCATGGAGGCGGACGTGTCTATGAGGAACAGCAGGATGGGCATCTTGCCCCGCACCCCTGTCTCTACTTCCCACTCTCCTGGCCCTCTTGCCCTCACTGCCACGTATGGCCACCCGAACCCTGAACTCTCGCAGAGCCAGGGGGCAGGGAGAAAGAGGAAGAGGGGGAGACGGGACGGGACAGATGGGACAGCTCCTGGAGTCCTCTTTTAGCAGCCCCACCTCCTTAACCTGCACGGGAACTTGAAAGTGTGAGCGTGTGTAGCCCTTGGGGACCTCCCCCCTCCCCTCTCCTCCTGCCACCACAACTGCCACCGCTGCCGCTGCCAGGACTACTGCCTAAGCATCCGTCTGCACTGACTAGAGTGCTCGCCCCAGACTGAGAGCTCTCTCTGTTCACCGACACACAACTTCTGTCTGCTCACCTACCATCAGTACCACGTGACCACAATCCACGCCATTGGCTGCCAATTATCCTGGATTTGCATATTCATCAGATGACAGCTCACGGGGAGGGACTTGGGCGAACCCAGGGTGTTGAAATTAGAACCAAGGCAGGGGGTAAAGGGAAATGTAAAGGACCCTTGGTAGGCTCAGATTCTCTGTTAAAGGACTTGGAAGCCTTTAGGATGATTCGTGCGGGTGGCTTCGATAGATTTTCTCTTGCTCCTCAAAGATGGTAATTCGAAAGGAATAGTGAATTGGGCAACAGTTGTACAGAAGTACAGAAGCAGATGCTTGGACGGGCCGCACAGAAAATGCTTTACTAACTGCAATCCATCAATCCTGCCAGTGCCTAAGACCAAAACATTTCAGAAGCGGCAAAGTTTCCTGGTCAGAATTACTCGCATTCCTTTGGATTCAGCACTGGCTTGATCGGTATTTGTGCATTATTTGCCGACCTTGTAGTCCATATATATGTAGTTAGAAACTAAATCTTTAACAGATACGGAAACTGGCGTTTTGTATACATAGACTTCTTCAGTTTTATTCAGCTCTTTGAAGCATTGGCAAGCCTGTGATAATTCCACCACTGTGTGTCTGCACAGCCTTTATACATGGGAGATTTGCCAACCTAAATTCAGCTTCAATTCACAATTGAGCACCCATGAAGTGCCAGGCACCCATGGTAGACTTATTTAATCTTTGAAATAATTATGGCAGGTGACATCATACTCAATTTTCAGAATAGGAAATTGCAGCTCCTGAGATTAGGGTAACAATGGGGATGCAGTCAGGTCTGTCTCTGTGGAAGGGCTCAGTGAGTAAGTGGTCAACTAGACGTGGTGGTGACCATGTGACACAATTTTTAAATACAGAGTATTTCTAGCAACATGCTATGCACACATGATGTAGAATCCTGAGCCTCAATGAGTTTGCACTTTTGGTGAGTAGAGATGATCTCTCTCACACACACATGTATAATCTTTTAAATGTTCTATGTAGACATCCTATGTATTTATTCTATGTGTTATATATATTCTATATACATATTCAATAGGATTTTCAGGAAAATAAGATTTCAAAAGAAGTCATGTGGCAGTGTATGAATCAGGGACAAACAGTGATGCAAATAAAAAGTGCAATGGAAGCAATGGTCCAGTGTTCTAGAAGTTCAGAAAGTTTCAAGGTCAAGGCACAAAGAGGGAACGGAGGAACTCTAGGTTGGAAGGAATGGTATGAACGAAAATTCAGTCAGAGACTGTACTATGCATGGTGTATTTCAGGCCAGTGTGGTGGAATGTTAGGAAACTGATGGAGAAATAAAGATGAAAAAGATACAATATTTGTATCCTGCTGATACAAATATTATGGAGGACAATAGCTTTATGGGCTAGGGTACTAAAAGTATAGGAATGATGGGGGCCTGTGTATTAGTTTTGTATTTCTTTGTAACAAGTTAGCACAAATTCAGCAGCTTAAAATGGCACATGCATCTATTACCTATCTCATGGTTTCAAGAAGTCAGGGGTCTGGGTTTACCTAGCTGATTCTCTACTCAGTCTCACAAGGCTATAGTGAAGGCCTGGTCAGGCTACTTTCTTCTGGAACTCAACTGGAAAAAGAATCATTTTCTGAGCTCATGCAGACTCTTGGCAGAACTCATTTCCTTGAGGCTGTATGTATGCAGGCTAGATGCCTCCCTCAGGCCCACCTGCTATTGCAGTTCCCAGCCATGAGGGCATGGCCTCTTCTTCAGGGACGTCAGGGAAATATCCCACTCTGATCTGCTAATGTGGAACCTCATATAATATAATCATTACCTTTGCCATGTTCTATTCACTAGAAGAAAGCCACAGGTCCTGCAGGAGATTACATTGGATGTAATAATACCAGTAGATGTAGATCATGGGAACCATCTAAGAATTCAGCCTATCATTAGGTAGGGAGAAGATCATTACCTGGAAACACCTAGCTCAGTTTTTGTTAAAGTCAATTCTGAGTAATAATATGACATGTTCAGCCTGCCAAAATACATGCATTGGGTTAGTTGATTGCTTAGACTATCTTTTTGTTGAAGAATTATAGAATTTCTTATTATAAATTTATATTTTGTTGTGATGGATATATATGTATGTATATACATATATACATACATATACATATATACATATATTTATATACATATATGTATATATATACACACACACACACATATATATATATGTATGAAAAGACTGCTAAGTCATGATATGCCCCAGTTCACAAGTGGCATTTTAAGATGACATTTAAAAAAACTCCTCTACACTGTCTCTCAACTTTTTTCCAACTAGCGTGCCTTACTTTAATAATCAGAAAGAGGGCTGGGGATGTGGCTCAAGCGGTAGCTCGCTCGCCTGGCATGCGTGCGGCCCGGGTTCTATCCTCAGCACCACATACCAACAAAGATGTTGTGTCCGCCGAGAACTAAAAAATAAATATTAAAAATTCTCTCTCTCTCTCTCTCTCTCTCTCTCTCTCTCTCCTCTCTCACTCTCTCTTTAAAAAAAAATAATCAGAAAAGAGGCTATGCTAAAAATCACGTACAAAGAACTTGAAAAAGTCCCTCCCAGGTGAATAATATGGAAACTCTTTTCAAACATGATTGCCCCAGTCTGGCTGGGCACAAAATAACAGAGCCACCACAAAGCCTTGTAGGTTCAAACAGCAACTCTTTATTCCCAAACTTTCACTGGCACTCTACACACACTTCCCAGGAACACATTCCCTCCACGGGGCTCCATGCGCCAATTTTCCCGGAACCCTTGGAGAACTCAACTGGGAACTCCAAAGTAGCAGTCGCCCAAGGCAGCAGGATCCGCCCTAATCCCAGCAGGATCCGCCCTAATCCGGGAGCCTCCCTAATCCCAGAGCAGGGTCACCTTTCAACCATTCCATCTAGCAAAATGTCAGGCGTCATTCCGACTAAACTGTGGCTCTCAACACATGATTTACCAGCATTAGTGAAGGACAAATAGTTTCATTTACACAATTCTGCAGTGGCTGAGGACATGCAGCTCCCACAGTGTGGACCTTTGAAAAAAGGTATTCTTTCCAGGCAGGCAAATGCCTTTTAATATATTTGTGTGTTGTTTTTTTTTTCTAACAAGGCATGTTATTTATTCTTTGTGACATGAGCTCAAATGTAATTGAAATAATGAAAACATAGAATCTGAAAAATAACACGTCTCATAAAATACAAAAATGGTGACAATATACAAAAAATAACAATTTACTGAATGTATTATTTATTCACATTAAACCAAAACCCAAGCCCTCAGTGTGCAACCACTCTTTCTTTTCTGAAGGAAAATAAACTCTCTATTATAGTAGAGGGTATATAGACCTCCAGAGCTCTTTTGACATATTTTTTGCTACAGAATATCAACCCCCTTGTATTGAGGTTATTTGTGCCTTGAATTGACTTATCTGTCCCACCAGAATGTAAACTCCTTGAACTCAGTCAGTACCTGTAACAAATGTGTGGTACAAAATACTTGTTTAATAAATGTTTGTTGGGCTGGAGTTGTAGCTTAGTGGTAGGGCCCTCATCTAGCTTGTTTGAGGCCACAGGTTCAATTCCAAGTACTTCAAAAATAAATAAATACACAATAAAACAAAAATACATGGCTGCAGAAAGAAATTGTCAACTATGCTGTGGTTCTCATTCTTTCCGTGTTTTCCTACTTGGGTATTATCCTGTGGCTCTTTTCCTGGGGCTACTCAGCCCTGCTGTGTTGCTCCTGCCTGCCAGCCCCTATCAGAGTTGGCTTGTAGGACCAAGTCCTTGTCCCTAGGGATCAACAGCCTTTTAATTTGGGGCGCCAGTAGGCCCCTTCAGATAAGACCTTGAATTGACATCCTTCCCCTCCCAACTCTAGCAGCATCCATTATGTTCCAATCATCCTACTTTATAAAGTGACTCTTTAGCGGGGGCATGCTCACTGTCACCCTCAGTCAAATCTTCTTCCCAACTGTTACCTAACTTCAGGCTCATTTTTCACTGTCAGTCCTCTGGCCAGTAAATGGATTCTTTTTTTTTTTTTTTTTTCATTGTAGCTCTAACCATCCTGTCTTCCTTCTATTCATCTCATGTTTTTTGAAGTTGTGGGCTCTTGAAAATAGTTTCCTCTTTCTTTTGTATGTCTCTAGTCTTTATCTGCTTTTCATTCACTAGGAGCCCCTAAATCAATTTGCTTTTCTAACTCTCTACCTCATGTCTGAGGCCCCTTTTGCTTCTTGGGAAGGAATTTTCTACAAAGTACTACTCTCCTGGCTTCTATTCCCTTCACACAGATGTTAGCAGACCTTCCCCTTGTTTACCCTTCATATGGCTGGCCACCATGTGGTCCACCACCATGTAGGAGATCGACACTTTGCTTTGGTGAAGGCCTCTTTGACTTCTCCCTCCGAAGATTTCTTCTCTCTTGGCTTCAAGCAGCTCCTAATCACCACATCTTGACAAAAACACCTTACTTAACCTCCTCCCCAAACGTGCCTTTCATGGCTCAGAGGGGAGTTCAACCTCCCGCCTGCATTCTCCACCACCCACTCACTCCTCAACCACGCACAATCTGGTTTCTCTCCCCAGCACTCCATGGAAACGGCTCAGAGGTCCCCAGTGGCCTGCCCCTGACCAAGTCCAATGGTCTGTTCTATATTTTCCTTTGTTGATTGCAGAGTTGTTTGTCACTTGCCTTCCTGAGCTCCCTCCACCCCCATCTACCTTGCTTTTCATCACCTGCCATTTCTCCTGGAGTCTTTTGACCCCTTGCACTTTTTTCCACAACATTTGCTAATTCCTAGCTTAATCTCTTTCCCATTCTGTAGCTACTTATTTCTTCCCTCTGCCCTCACAAAGGACTGTGTTATTTCCACAGTCTGTTCATTTAGTCATCCTTTCTTTGTTTTTTTTTTTTTTTCCAAATATTTCTTGGGTAGG